AAATTGCGAAGCATATAATGTTACTGATCGATTGCCTTGTCGCAAAATACGGATCTTGTTGGTTGCAACACGAATTGCATCATGTTCTCCAAACATGGATCGAAACTCCGCCAAAAAAGCCTCCAGATTATCCAATATTGGATCTCGTCGTTCAAGAAAAGATGAAAACCATGACAATGCTGAACCTGAAAGGAGTGTACCAATGAATCTAACTTGTGACCCTGGAGTTGGATAGCTCTGGGGTTGAAGTTCAATTACTAGTTGGACCTGATTGATGAATCCTCGAAACTTGGATCTGGTACCATCAAACTTCTCGGGCAAGGCAACTCTCGGTTCTCTAACACTCGAAGGGTGTTCCATTCTGGGAGAAGGGACATGGTTTGGTGTAGATGTTGAAGCAGCCCCAATCATCTCTATATCTTCACTTCCTACCATTCTTGTTGCTCCTTGTGGTGGTAAATTGAGTTGATGCATCGCAAGCATTAACTCCCTCAATTGCTCTTGCATCTGTGCCATTGCACTCTTCATTTCAACAAGCTCTGCCATAGTAGCACTTAGAAAAGAGAAGATGTCTAATAACGCTCAAAACAAATAGAAGAGAGGAATTGATAACAAAGAAAATACTAAGAACAATATCAGTTTAAAAGAGGGTAATCCGCAACTTCTAATGCGCTTATGTCTTATCAAGAAAAAGGGGTAATCCACTCTTAATCAAGAAAAGACAAAGCTCTGATATTGTAAGTGTACTCTTGTCAATCTGTCAAGGACAAGAACTCGATGAAAGCTAAAGAGTAAGTGAGACTTTTCTCAAAAAGAAATAGGACAAAATAGAAATATGTATATTAAGAAAGAAACTGGAATGGCTATTGCCAAAATACAAGAAAACTAGAGACCCTTGAAACTTAGACTAGAAGCAAGAAAGGAGTTGACAAGAGTGAAGAGGGCTTCACTCTTGCCTCTATATATACTATCTAACTAGAAGCCACGTGGCGATGTTCTATAAGACCTCCAATATATGTTGACTTTCTAGGCCACATGCCTTTGCTTGCAAGGCAAGTTTTCTATGGATGGACCACGTAGTTAGCTTGTTCTTTAAGCTTCCAACATGTGTGGCACATGGCTAACTTGTTGACCAAGTTTCTAACCTAAAAGTCAACTATAGACTCCTATAAAGTCAAAGCAGCGTCTATGAAGCTTCTAAGAAGCTTCTCTAGAAGATATTACACAATTAACCTACTTTTATCTACTTTTACATACTTTTATCTATTCATATAGGTAATTATATGTATGTCCGTGACACAATATAATTATTGTTCTTCCTAAAACTTGTCTCTAGAAGTGGGGATGATATCACAGATATATATATTTATTTCAATTATTACCTAAATAATAGGAATATGTAAAAATACATTAAAATTTTTTGTTTTTTCAAATTCATATATTTAACATTAAATCATCCAATAATATAGACAATAAATATCTTTTCACTTCAAAGTTGTCAAAATGAACATTCTTGAGTTGAAAAGTTATGTTAACAATGAAATTAAGTAGAGACTACATCAATCCTTGTAATAGGAGCTAAGATGTCTATATAACAACACCCAACAAATGACAATCCTTTGATATCTAAAAATAATATTAAGACAATTGCAGGGGAAGAAGACTAATCATGGCAATATCAAATAGTAATATAAAGGAGAGTGTTGGAGCACTCACCATTTTACAATGATAGGATCATCTAACTAGAGTCGCTAGCTAAGATCATTTAATCATGTAAGCTTATTCCACCACAAACATTAGATGACAGTTATCATTTTTCTAATAGAAAATATCAAACATGTACATAAAAACTTCAAAGCAATTAATAGCAACAATTCTAAGTTGGTATGTAAATAAGCACATTTAAGTGCATTAATGGATGCAAGCATTTGCTTCATTCCATGTCTTGTGACAAATGTATCTCAGTTTTTGTTCCAATACATGATATTTAGTCTCTTTATCCTTCTTTCTATGGTCATTGATGTAAAGCATAAGCTATGAAATGCACAAAATAGATGAAAATTAAGCCAATTTTCTCTCAAAACCCTACTAAGAGATGAACAAAAACTTTAACATTGTATTAACAAGTTCTTGAATATAAAACTAGATTGTGCAGCACATGTATAGACTTTAACAAACATATTTGGAGAAGCACAAGAAAAATAATACAAAAAATTGTGAATTTCAAGCCTGAAGTTATCTTTGGATACTCACTTGCATGATAAATCATGCAAGCAACCATCTGGACCCCTACAAATCCCACAAGGTTTGTGACCTCCACTGGAAAAATTATCTTGGCCATCCAAAATTGTATTTACAGATATTGGAACAAGGTTGAAAAGTTCACACCTATGTCCATGAACAACATGTACACACTGGCCATGGAAACTGTGTGAATGAAAAGAGAGGGGCTGCAACAGCAATTAAATAACTTAACACCTACCACAAGACCAATACGATTGAAAGACCCTGGTGATGCATGGCATTCCCAGTACCATGTCTTCTTGAAGCCTGCTATCTGCTCAACTATTCAAAGCAAATATGCTCAATTGTAGTCTTATCTCAGCCCAGCCAGAAATCAAACGGTCAACTCTCTTGAGCAATCGAACTAATTGAATTTGTCAACTTTTGACTGGATTTCATAGCAAACCACTTTTGTTACATAACATAGTCAAACACAGAGGAAAATGAATTAAGATACTCACTTGAGATGTGCACACTAGAAATTTTACCAGCACCCCTGGAACACACAGCATACAAGTCAGTAAAGCTTATTACAGAAGCCTCCAGTATATGTAGAAATCAGGTGCTTTAGGATTTTAAAAACTAAAAATAGGAAGCTCTCAAAGAGGATGGTTCTCCAAGCAAGGCAACCAAGCAACTCAGTAGTCATATATAGCTGCATGAAGTTCAGGACCTATCAGGTACCACAAAATAAGCATGTGTAAGATTTGTTGACTTGACCAAGATGGCAATCAGCTATAGGAAATAGTTTGATTCATTCCAATATAGGAAAGAAGCAAAGTGGATCCATCAGTAAGTATCATACCAAAGTATTTTTGATACATCCTTAACCACATTACACTACAACATCAAATAAACAAGCTGCTGCGATTTTAGGAAACATTGTCCACTCTGCACTCAATGTTGGAAATACTGACAGTGATAACTGTCCTAAAATATCAGTGCAGCAGTGCCAAGTCCAAGGAGAAACTACCCTTAGATTTGCACCACAGACGGACGACTGTGGGTGCTGCATATTCATCCAATTCAAAACCTTGAGTAAGTCTAGATTTTTAGCGTGCCCAAATGGATGTTTTTATTTCTAAATAGAGGAACTCATGTAATTCACAAGTATCAAAGATGGAAAGCATCTATCACTGTTTACAGAAGGATTTGAGTCCAAAATCGAATCAACATCACGGCTTCAAAGTTCCAAGTCAGAATGGTAGCACCTTAGATAGGTGCTATCATTCACATAGTGACGTTTTGTGTAAAGTCTTTCGTGAGGCATGAACCAGGTAAATCAAGTTCTTTGAATAATCTAAGAGGTAACAATGACTGACTGGTTTGCAGAGCCGTTAAAATAGCAGATGTGGATGAGAAACTTCACGAGTAACAAGGAGAGTAGCCCGAAATTTGAAAGGCATTCTTCACTGTAGTTCTTTCTTGTATTATCCAGCTGAGAAATGTGTACATAGTAGACAAACAAAATGATAAATGACTGAAATCGACTGTGGTAAAAGGAATAATTCAAAAAAATTGCAGAAATTGAAGATTTGCTTATTTGAGGATCAACGAACCTACGACACAAATAAGGTTATAATGTGCGTTTTTATGTACTGACAACAAGATTTCCCATAGGTCAATTTACTCACGTTGCACTCAAAGTCATGCTACCATCGTACAGAAAAGACCCGAGAGGCACATGGGTCGAAGGTGAATAAAGAACTGGCAATATACAATAGAGCATACAGCATGTATGGCAAGAAATTGACATAATTATATTGAGCTCCTGATACCAGCCTCTTCTGAAATCAAAGAAAATTGGATCAAGATCAATCCAATGATATGATCAAGATGCTTATCAAAATCCGTTAATGATGCAAGAATTATCACTCCTAAGGATCTGTTTTCTAATGTCTCAGAAATCTCAAACTACGATAAGAATTAATGTGGAAAAATATCATTCGTTGCCAAAGAAATGCCACGGCTATGATGAAATTATCGATCCCAGCATTGCTCTAAGACCCTGTATTGCAAACCATTTTTGGAAATGAAATACCCAAGTTCAAAATCAAGTGTTAGTGATGTCCAGACAACAAACTATTGTCCAATATTCTCACCTAGGATCACTGTAAGGAAGAACTACGTCCAAGAGATAGGCGACCACGTGAATCAGACCACAGGGAAAATACTGTATAATAGCCATTTTGAAGCCAATCTCCCATCGCAGTTCACAATTTGGCTTATGGAAGAAGGCAATTTGCTCCATGCTGGCACCAAATTACTTAATAATGTTGGATTCAATAGCGACATGGTGTGTCTTAAGCAACAATGTTCTAACAAAGAGTAACATCATCATTGCCGTTCTCACGCAAGTTTTCAGAGTTGATAAGGCAGCCACAACTCGTGTCAAATGTATCAAATCAGAGCGAAATTGTCTTCATAGAGCGTGAGAAAGATCCTTATCCAAATTCAACAAATTCCATCGATATACATGAGATGTTCGAACGATCACAACAACAGACCCTAGACAAATTTCTGTGAAGACCTGAAAAATTGTTTCGGCGAGATCCTGCGAGATCCGGACGCAAATGAAGAAAGACCTCATTCCACAGTAACGAACAAACTGGTAAAAATTAAAGTAGTCGAATGAGAGGTCCACCAGATATCCAGCCTAGTCAATCCGTACAGTCATCTTCCATCGTTGCTTGTAGAATATTTGCTTCAAAATCACATTAGCAGAGAATAAGATCTTGCTTGGAATTCAAAAATATAATGAAAAACGAACATAAGCCAGTTGACAAACCTTTTGATAATTCTAAATTAAGCGTGCTGATAAGTGTACAAGTTTATAAGCCTGGAGGCGGTAACATGAACACAAATATCTTAACTAAGATAAAACGACACGTAGGCAAAATGGCAACACCAGATAAGCATTCGCTACCAGATATGAATTATCTATCACAAGGTAATTTGAAAGAAGATTAACTTGAAAAAAAATACTGAGGATTTTTTGCATGAATCGCAATCAACTTATACTATTCCGGTCACACTAGTGTGAATTAGAAACACCATCAACCTCTGGTAACTGAGATACAACCTGTAAAAAATCAAACAAATGAATTACGACAATGTCACTTCCAAAAGAAAAACACTGCCAGAGCTTCAGGATTAATGAATACTTACCCAAGCTACAGTGAATTCCCCGTAATATTGATCAGTCATGGACCTAACCCTATCCACTGACGACCAAAAACCCAAAAACAGAAAAGCACTCTTAAATTTCCATCACGTACATGTCGAAGGGTGTGTCATCCAGTCAGAAATCACTCACCCCTCACGAAAAACGTAGATATTACATCAAAATCTCTAAGAACCGGTGAAACCTCGAATCAGCGCCAATTACTGAGATTAGAAACTCAGAACTGCACAAACGATGGAGGTAGTGGGGCTCCGCTGGACATCAAAGTCTCCAAACAGGATCGTGCAGGAAGTATTGTCTCAAGGCACGTCAGCACTCCTTGAGTCCATGATGAACGATGCTTTCAAACCACCACACATACGACTGAATTGTGCATGTAGATGGTGGCTTCAACAAACTCTGCAATGAAGTGCAACCAAAATTTATTCACTGGTCCGATACAACAGCCATCTGCTCAGAGGGCTTCGTCTTCTTCGTAACAGCACGATCCCTCATGTTTTCATTGGAATATATATTAGCACATCCTCGCTGTTCCCAATGAGGTGCAAGACGAAGTCCCCAAAAAGGGAATATGGGAGCATCACTAGATTCGAGTCTAGAAGCTTCTCACTAGATTCTTTTAGTTCTTTCTTCTCATATTATATTCATATTATTTTATAAAAGAGGTTTCAAAATAATATAAATTATTAAGAAACTTACTTGTGATACAATAAAACATAACTGGTAAATCATAAACCATTTTTTGCTGATTTTTTAAGTTTCGAAATTTAAATTTTTATTCTAAATGATATCTGTTTTATATCTGAAATATATATATATATATATATATATACATATGTATATAATTTATTATTTTTCATACTTTCATACTAAATATAGAGAAAATAAATATATCAAATAACTTAAATATTTTATTCTTTTAATTTTTTCTTAATGATACATTTATTTATTACTCAAATGTATTAAAAAAAATACTTAAGTATGTGTTATAAGTCTTTTGATATAAGTTTGTAAAATATCATGGCCCTTGTAATAATTTTTTAAAACCAAACATTTAAGAAAAAAAAAAAAAAAAAAAAGGAAAAAAAAAGGAAAAAAAGGAATCTTGAATATATATGTTATAAAACTATTTTATTTGTCTCCTTATTCAAGTAGAAGTTTAAAACCTTTACCAATTGAATTTAGGTGTATAGTATTTTTTGTATAAGCAAATTATTTTTGAATTATATTTTATTGTAGAATAAATACTAAAAAGTGTAGTGGTTATAGAAAGAGGATAAAAGATTATATTAATTTTTATTAAGTTTATATATTTTTTATTAGTATTATTAAATATTTTAAAAATTAGTGTTTTTGTTACCAAAATAACCTTCTATGGAAAATTTCTACTACCATCAATGATATGTTTTCTTATACTTTGTTTTTTATTTTTATTTTTATCATCTTCTTTGCTTCTTTTTTTGCTAAAGATAAGGGTAAGAAAAAGTAAATCAATGACCAAATTATTACTTGCATCAATTTGGACATATCAAATTTTCATCTTACTCATGGCTCCTTTTGTGTGAAATAGTTCGTTTCCTTATGTAAAAAATATTTTTACTCTTCTATTAAAATCGAGATTGAAGGAAGCTCACAAGAACATGTAACTATTTGACGCAAGTATTAGCGTACTAATTAGAACTAATTAGCGCGGGAACATTCCACATCCCCGTGCTAATTAGTGTGCTTATTAAACAACAAGGTGTGAATCGGCTTGTGATCCTGAACGCGCCGCAAGTCAAGTTCCAAAACCCGAAGCAAACCCATGCAAGGGAACATGGGAGCGTCAATGGAACCAGAGGGGAACAATTGTGGGAACAAGTGTGCGCATGAGGGGGGTAAATCAGGTGTGAGGAGAAGAGGGCTTCGGAAGCAAGCACAGAGAGAGAGGGCGTGAATGAAGCCTTCATTCGGATAAGGCTCTGGAGAATGGGATGTGGTCTGAACGCTGGGCCCTTTTTGTTCACGATTTGCATTGCGAGAGTTTATCATCATCGTCATCATCGTAGGGGTGAGAGAGAGCGAGAGAGCGAGAGAGAGAGAGAGAGAGGCTTTCGTAGCTGAGTCCGTAGCACTCCTCTTTCTCGGAGCTGGTTACAGTGATTTTGCGGAAAAGCCAGGAAGCCATGGCTGCAGCCGCTGTCACGTCGTCCATGGCGTCGTTGTCTTTCCGCAGTTCCTCGTTTCAAGAGTTCAATGGCTTGCATGCTGCCCCTTCAGCCCGCCCCGCATTGCCGTCCCCTGCTCAAGGTTTGTCGCTCACGTCCTTTTTCACAGTTGGCATTTCATTCTGAATTGGTCGAGCTCATTGCGTGGCTTTTCAATTTCCACAGGGTTTGTAGTTGTGAAACAGAATTAAGTGGAATTCGTATGCCTTCTCTGCCTCCTCTTGCGTGATTTGTGAGCGTGAGACTGTCAGGCGCTTTGTGACATTTTGTCGACCCATTGAAGCTGCTCCCACTCATTTTTTCCTGATAACGATTTTTTGATTGTTTCTGTGTTCTTCAGTGAACCTGATGGTTGTGGATATATGGTTGTTTCACATCATATCATTATTATTAGCATCATTACTTTAATACGAGCCTTGTCTGGAGATACAGAGGAGTCATATAATTTGTAAACTGTTTCGAATTCTAGGCGCCGTCGGATATTATTGGACTCTTCTGTAACAACCTTTCTATGTAGGAATGTCAAAAGTCTCAGCTGTAAGCTGCTGTCATTGCAGGAGTGATGAAGACCCCATTGAGGATTGAAGCCGCTGAGGGACTGGCAGGAAAGGGAGGTGTACGGATTAGGTTAGTTCGCATAGGTAGAAAGAAACTTCCTTACTACCGTATCATCATCGCCAACAGCCGCTCCCGCCGCGATGGAAAGTTCCTTGAGATGGTGGGCCATTACAACCCTATGCCCGGTAAGATTCTCTCAAACGCGGCTGAAATCTAATTTTTCACCACCTTCACAAACGCAAAGAATGGTGGATACTTTCTTCAATCTGGGGCTGCCCTTCAACATCATTGGCGTTGTGCACGGAGAAGTGGGATTCGGTTGATTCGTATGATCTCTTTTCACCTTTCTATAATTACTCACCTACTGTTGTTCTCGTCCTTCAGATAAGAATGGTGAGAAAGACATTTTGGTTGACAGCGAAAGGATCAAGTGAGGCATCTCTTCATTCATCTGCAATTGGTGCCTTAATTAACTATGAATGCAAACCCCTCCCAATCAGTATTCTGAGTTGATCTAATTGGATGTGTGTGTTTTTTTAGACTAACGAATAACGGTTCTCAAGTGTTTTCTATCGTTTGCAGGTACTGGCTGTCAGTGGGAGCACAACCATCAGATACAGTTAGAAACATTCTTTACAAGCAAGGAGTGATGTCTCCTCCTGAGCTTGCCCCCGCCGGCTCTACTGAAGCTTGACCTCTCCATTTAGTGAAAGAGAAACTTATTTTAAAAAGAGTTTTAGAACCTTATCGCTACAATTGCTAAGCTAGGCTGCCGTAGGTCCATCACGATCAGTCCTCCATTAATGTTTTTAAGCACAAACAAACTAATTTTCTATTTATCTTCTTACATTCTTTCCATGTGGAATTGAATTCTTTACAACCTGAGCATTCGTTTTGGTGCATACGCACCTTGAACTAAATCACTATCACCTCTTGTTCACATTGAATTCCTAGATGAGATGAGCAGCTCACTCATGGCTTCAAATTGTGAAGCACGAACTGTCAGGTCACGCTCATGAAGATGGAACTTGCTAACCTGCGCATGTTTGCCGTGAAATCCTTTTAATTGAAATCCTCTATTTCGTCGTTAGCCTCATAATTGAGAAGGAAGACGCAGTAATTGACATCTGGTTAATATCATCAAACCAACGTCTCATTGTGTCAAAGCAGCCCTAAACTCTAACCAACATCTGCATTGTAAAGTAAAAACGGACGTTGCATCAACGGAAGACTTGTGAAGCTTTTTTCTACACGTAATGTAGAAATACTTTGGCTAATCTTTGAGTGTCCGTTGCATTCATTAGCTTCTGTCAGCATAAGATTCTAATGCCTTGTCTATACCAGCCAGAATACCTTGACTCACAATAGTACACAACAAATTTGTATGCTATGGTACTTTCCATCATATTAATGCATGGCAAACCTTGTTCGTTACTCCTAAGATTACTTTGGCATGTCTAAGTAGAGGCACTATAATTCTTGCGGAGGCACATGATTATGTGCGTACCATGTATCCTTAGGAATGTAGACACAACAATACTCATTCAAGTAAATAAACCTAGCATCAAAACCTTGTGTCTGACGTGCATGGTTGTTTCCTTTTCGAGGTTGGAAAGCAGAGCGATATAGGCATATTCAGATACACAGAGTTGGGAAAAGTCGTCTGTGGACTGGTTGGTTGATGAGTCCACGCCGACAGACCCACTGATACGTCACTGCTATGGCTCAGTCTGGCCTGCACACTGAGCAGTGCGGGATCGTTGCATGGTGCATGTCGTCTGTGAATGGGCATCGCTGCGAGAGAGCTGAAGCAGCTGTCATCCTCTTGATCTCCAATAAGTGCAGTTTCACCCGCGACTGTCAGTTCCTTGTGAATGCACCAGACCAGACGAAGGTTGAATGGAGACTAGTTTGGTGTGTATGTTTCGTTCTGCAAGGGCGTTAGTGCACAATCCGCGGATTGCTTGGGGGATGTTTTGGGTGGGTTGCATTGGGGAGAGCAAGCAGTTTATTGTGTGATTATTCCTTTGTGGAGTGCATGTTCCGTGGGCATTCTTGGTGTTGCGATGATGGGGATAAGAGCGTGCGAGGCTCCGTTCGGAGCTTGGAAGTCTCCGTTGACAGCAGAATTTGTTTCAGGGTCGTTGGATTGCTTTGAAGGGGCTGCCGTTGATTCTGACGGCCAGTGGATTTGGCTCGAAAATCGATCCTCTAAATCTGGGTTAGTTTGCAATCAACTGAATCGTTAACTTTCTCTTGCTTTGTGCGTTGGTCTGATGATTCTCTTAATATTGCACAGCAGTCGGGGAGTTAGGGTGGAAGATCTGAGCTGAATATTTGCATGTGAAGAGAGTGTTGTTTTGATAGGTTTTCCCACACCAAGCAATTTTTTGGTGTTTCGCTTCTTCGCTTAATTTTACTTCACAATTATTTCGAGTAATTTTCATCATTGAGCACTGAATTTTGGGTGAGATGCTGTGTAATATCTTATATCTGTATTCTAATTTCTTTTGAATTACGCGCAGTTGTGCGGTGTTGGTGAGAGAAGGAGCCCAACCTGGATCCAACCCGGAGGATATAACTCCATCTGGTTTTTGGCGTCCGCTCTCAACTGCATGAGTGTGGCGGAGGAAACTTCGCAGTGAAAGAAGATAATGTAGTTTTCTCCAATTACGCAGACCAGAGTTTGAATAAACAGTCGATTAAAGACGGTACACTTCTCACTAATTTGGACTTCCAATCGGTGGTGATCTCCCGCGATTTGTGCTCCTGCAATCATCTGATATCTCTGCTTGTCACACATAGCATTATCTCAAAAAGCTTTCAGAAATTCTCGATCTAATTAATGGTCAGGATATTGTACTTTCCACAAGTTATTCCAATCCCACATAATTTTTGATTTTTCCCAAGTGAAACAGAACGCACTCCCATGCCAGTACCTACAGCGTACGAGAATGACGCAGTAAGATATGCGGATGAAACGTTTGACGAAAGATTCAATCGTGTTGTCGTTGTTCGGGAAGATGAGCACTGTGCCATGGTTGCAGGGTGGCTGACGATGATATGTTGATGCTGAGCAGTACGTTGCATATAATGAGTGCCTCTACCTGCACAATCGTAGTTTGGATCTAGAACTTTTGTATTAAAGACCTGGTACTTCTCAACTGTCATGGAGCTATAACAATGAAGCTGCTGTGGGCTGCGTGTTCTTCCCTGCAGATTGTCGCCTGGAGGGGGTGGAATCCGTTGACGAAATTGTAGCCAGGTCTCTTGATGGCGAAACTAAACTTGGCATTTGTTCTTGAAGCCTTAATATTGACATTCTTCTGGTGACATGGACTCATCTGCTTTTGTATGCGAATTCTGGGTGCCCCCTTTGTTATGAACTATAGCGGACCGAAGAGCTGGTCTTTTGCATTGTTACTGGTTTGGTGCACGTCTGACACTCGGTGACTGGTTTCAGAACCAGAGGTTTTAGTGAAAGCCAGGGACTTTTATATGTTCCCAAGACTGAGTCCAGATGGTCAGATGCTTGCTTGGATGGAATCGTCTCACCCTAATATGCCTTGGGACCGTATATCTATATGGGTTGGCAAAATTTCAGATGACGGGAGATTCTGGAGTTTTGCTGGTTGTTTCTTGTGTTTTGATGAGTTGCAGTTGGGTGTTGACACTAATTGTTATATCACACCAAGTGATTTGCTAAATACTCCCATGAATGTACAGCAAGATAGATATGGAGATAAGTACAATTCCATATCTTGTTTCCGGTTTACTGGTGATTCACTGGTAGTGCATCACACGTGCGTGAAAATGGAAAAAATCGGTATTTGTCTTCATGCTTACACATACAGGAGCATAAGAAACTCATCTTGTGTAGCGGGAGATGATGACATCGTGGAGTCTGCGACTGAGCCAAAATGGTCACCCAAAGGTATGTTGTCAATCCCATCTCGATATCCTCTTTCGGTATTGTGGTGCAATTGCTTAGGTTGAGTTCGTCTTTACTTTCTTAAGCCGTAACAGTTTGTGAAATTTGAATCCCCTAGGTCACAGTGATCATGGTTATGCAATGCTTTAAGTATACCACTTTCTGGGCAAATTCAGGTGACTTGATCTTTGTCTCAGATTGTGGAGGTGGATTTTGAAAATGATTTCCTCCATTTGAAAATCCACATTGTTTTCGATCGTTGCACTAAACTATTGAAAAAATTAGAAATGAATAACACCTCACTTGGATTTTTGCGCTGATGCATGCAACAGCTTGGATTTTTAAAGTGAAGTTCACATTTGTCGCTGGTCAGGGTGTTGGGGGAAAGGTGCATCATTGCGTCCGATGGACGCTGAGTTTGCAACACCATTCTGGGCTTTTGGTTTCTCTTCATATGCTTTCATTGGCAACTCTGGAGATCAGATTGTATGCACTTATAGGTTTTTATCCCTGGTCCAGTCTTGTCACTGGATTCTGCTTCTGTTGGCAGCAATTCGTCAGAAAGGGTTCCAGTGAATTTTTTGGTTCAAGTCCCCATTGTGGTTCTGTCATGTGTAACTAAAGAATCGTAACGTGGCGTCACACGTTTTGACTACATGGTCCAGAAACATATGATGAAAAGTCTATACAACCTCATTTCTGGAGGACACCACATTCAAGGAGAAACTGTGCACGGATGGCTATGTCAGAAACATTTTATGAGTTTTTTCTCATGTGCAGACAACGAGGTGCATCTCATCTAGCAACGTTTGACCTATCCTCTGGCACACTATCACTTGTTAAAGACACGTTTACCGACATATACAATCTGGTATGTATTTCATCAATATATACTAGAGAGGGGTGCATGCCATATGATTGCTACCTAGTTATATTGTTCAGATTAGGTGTAACCAAGGGAGTTCTTTAGCAAAATTCTTTGAATACTGGACATGTCAACATCGTGTGCATTAAGTCAAGTGGCTTTGATGAGTGAGTGCATAGGTCCAGTTGGTTGATTTGTATCTCAGTGGTGATTTCATGTATCATCTGGAAACTTTGTGAGTTGACTGAAGGTCTTTAGCAATAACAGTTCGTGCATGGCAATAAAGTACCTTTCAGCGCTGGGTTACCCACTGACACGCTCTCTCTTGTGAAGGTGAGGGAGTTCTTTAGAACATATATCTTGTGAAGGTGATGGCTTTCTTTCTCTAGGATTCATGCTAACCCTCCAATTATACATGCTAAACTTGGACCTTGCAATGTGAACGGGCTTCTGAAGGTTTGAATCTGGCTTAAATATTTTTTTAGAAGTGTGATGGCATTCTATGATGCCGTTTTGTAGCTTTCTCTGAATGGATGGATCATTAAATAGGGTTAGTCAAGAGTTCTTCATAATAACATCTCGAAGGCAGGGACTCGTTTTGGCTATGCTCAGTATCATAGTGTTAATTTTATTAACGGCATTGCATGATCTTTTGTCTCTTACAACATGTATCACTGTGAATCAAAATGGCCTGTTCTTTCATCTCACAGAAACGATTTGTTGCAGGTTTCTCTTGCAGAAGGCAAAAAGGGCGCTGGTGAAGACGTAGTGCTGTGGTCATCGATTGGTGTTGACATGGAGCAGTACAAGCCCTAATTCAGTGCTCCGAGGGTTATAAATTTTTCGACATTGATTGATGTGTGTATCACATTATGTGGAGAGCGACCACCTTTGCTCGTAAGGAGTCATGGTATGTAAGCGGTGTTTTTGTGCCAATCAGATGCTTCACGCAGAATTTTTACGTGTTAAGAGATGCGCCCTTTGTTTCAATTACTCGAAGTCCGGAATTGTTACATTTTGAGTGTTTCTGATTACTTTTCTGCATTTTAACTCTTCAAGTACTCTGATAAGCTCCAAGTGTTGCTGTAATAGGGGTCCAACAGCTGAAGCAAGCACAATTCTAGATCCTGCTAATTAGTACTAGGCAAGCCGAGGTTGGGCTATTGCTGATGTAAACTATGGAGGTAGCACAGGTAAGTGATTTGTTTAGTTTTCGTGCCCTACCAAAGCAAGTACTGTGTGCATGTTTGGCATGCTAAGGTATACTAGTCTCCTTTCATATCAATCTGTCACATTTTTGACGGGAGGTTTTTGAGCAGGGTACTGAAGGGCTCATCGGGTGCGGCTCTACGGCCAATGGAGCATTGTGGATGTGAATGACTGCTGCAGCTGTGCTGAACATCTAGTATCTCCTCAGAGCCTTCATTTGATTTTTCTCAAGGTTAGAAGCAATGCTCATGTCCAATTTACAGTCTCTCACATTTAATCCAGCAGGGATCATATTTATGTGTAATTTGCATGTAACTTTTGAAATTTTTGTAAAGTTTCAGTAGTATTATATGCTTTTGGTCTGAAAACTAGGACTACCCAAGTTAAATCTAGTTCTCTTGTTTCTAAAAGTGTTTGCGAATGTGAGCATTGCAGGTCAAAATAGGAGAGGTTGATCCGAAGCGGTTGTGCATAGATGGGTGCTCAGGTTTATGGGTTTATGGGTTGTGCATATACGGTTGTGTATAGCCCCATTGATTGGTTTATGTACGTAGTGCTATAAGTGAAAGATTTGATCCTATGCGCCACATTTTTGAGAATGAGTCCTGATCTAGGATGGACCAAGGTAAATCTGAATTCAGCACAGAATTGTTGTATCAAATTCTTCCTTGGTTCCCTTTTTCTTACACAATTCTTCAAGCTCCACAAGTGAAACATTACAATTTCAGCGTTTGTTATTTGTATCGTCGTATAACTAGTTGAGATCCCTTGTGTTCAATGCAACGTGACAGATAAGTGACTTGAAGAGCTGCATATCAGATATGCACAAGTTCGAATCTCGTTACCTGATTAAACTTCTGGGTATGCCGATTCGGCTCTTTCCTAAGATTTCAGCTCCATATATAATTTAAATTTTATTTTAATATCCTGCGTAAACATTCGCATGTTTGTTCACGATCTCCGCCTGTAAGCAGATTAGAATTCCAAGGTGCGTGTTTACTGATTCATCTCTCCTCGTCTATATCTCTATGAGTGCATCATGGAGAGTTTCCAATGTAAACTTTGGTGACTGTCAGGTTGTGCGGATGTCCTGGAAAAGAACGCACATAACTGTTCTCCAATCAACTTTCTCGAGAAGCTCTCATGTCCTATTATCCTGTTTCAGAGCCTTGAAGTTAAAATAAGCTCTCCATTGTCTCTTTCCTTGAGTACTTGATCTGTCTGCTGGTGTTTATATTCCATGGAGTCTCGTTTGAGGATGTCTATAATTTCTGGTCACTGCAGGTCGTACCACCAAACCAGGCACGAATGATTTATGATGCAGCTAGGATGAAGGGTATTCCTATTGCTCTTGTTGAGTATGAAGGGGTAAAACATGGGTTTCGGAAGGTATTTCTTTTTCTCTGAGCTTGTCCATCAGGTTTTAATGGCTGTGATTTTCAAGGTATCACCTGTATTTCTGTGAACATGCTTAGAGGCTTAAGTGTGATTTAAGTGTCTCACTTAAGGTGATTGGTCGTTAATACTTGAAAGAACGTAAAGCAGCCATGTAACTTGAACCATCTTCTCATAAGTTATTATCTTTGGCCTGGGGTTGCAGGCTGAGAACATTCGTAACTCACATGAACAAGAGTTGAAGTTCTTAGCCCCTAATTGGAGGATTCGAAGTTGCTGATGACATTGTTCCAATCAAAATTGACAACTTTGACGACTAATATACAAACTCAATGCACACACAGAACTTGTGTTTTACTAACTTGAGTTAGCTTGGTTTCTGATTCATAGCATTATGATTTAGGCAATACATATATTTATATATATATATATACATATAGATATATATATATACATATATATCTATACGTAATTTTTCCCATTAAAATAGTTGAATCCAAGCTGTTGTCACAAAAAACATGCAAAAAATAAGTTAAAGCTGTTTAAGAAACTACTCCTTAACAAATGTTATTTAGGACAACAGATATACATGTTCGTAAAGCTCTTATAAAGGAGGAAAACTCTCAACAGATGAGGTTCTAGTGGAGTGGACTTCAAACACATGGGATTCAATTTAGAAGCTAAACAACTTAGTGTTCTCAATGTATATGTTGTATATGTGAGAAAATTTCTCTAAAAGAGAAATTGGAATTAATTTTATCTAATTTTCTCTTTGAATAGTTAAATTTTAATATAATTTAATCTTTTAAAAATGGACAAGGGTTTATATGAAGTATGGGATAAATTGATAATAAAGTTGAAGTGAACCTTTTCTTTAGTCTAATTAAAGGAGAAGTTACAAATTTCTCAAAATTTGTATGCATAAAGGAAGGTGTAAGAAGTTCAAGTCTAAGATAATGTTTGCCTTAAATTTTAGTATCTACAATCAAACTTACCTTTGATAAATCAATGCATCTCACTTTTTAATAGTTGTAATTTTAAGCAAGACTCCTAAAAAAAATGTCATGTTTCTAGGAATCACATTTTGTAAATATGAAAATACATTTATGAAATGTATATTTATATTCATCTTTTAGCTTTGCTCATAAAGAAGGAAGAAGGTACTTGAACTTATCAAGTGAGAAGGTGCTTTTTTCTTATCAATGCATCTATATTCATGAACACTTTAGTCTCCATTCCTAGAAAATTTAGGAGATCCTCTTCTTGGCTAAATTCATAATTAATTTCCAACATAAAGTAGATGCAACACAGATCTTATATTCAATACTTTGATATATATGGATTGAGCATCTCTACACACTTAGTTATACCATCTCAATTAATATACAATCTAGCCATAGAATACAACTCTATTTATATGTATATATAATCTAGAACATTGGATTTACAACCAAGCATATTCTATCATTCATTTTGCAAAAAGCAATGCTAAAGCTTTTTACTATTCCTCTTATTTCTTATAAAACTCTCTTTTGCAATACAAAATTCTTATATGCAAATATATGTAATCCTATTGCATCTCATGTCATATGATCTTATCAATTTAAACTCCAAAAATTGGTTAAGGAAATTGGCTGACTATTTATATTTAAATTGTATTGGATAGCTACTCCAAATCTTCAAATTTTTTTAGTCCAAAATCAAATGTAGAATTGAATGTAAGTCCATTTTAAGCTTGAATGTGAAACTTGCAACTGCAAATCTAAACCCAAAGATTGCATATTATATCTTTAAAGTGAAGCAAAGAAGAAGTTGGCAATCATATGCCTGGGGTATCAAATCGCCTAAACAATGCAAAGCATGTATCACTATTCAAATCCATTGTACATATGTTTATAGAAGCCAATTTTGCACACAAATGTATAATATCATATATCATGCCTTAAACCCAAAAATTATAAATTCCTATCCAATGCTTAATGAAACACATATCAAATTAATTGCAACAAACATATCAAACTTAAGAATTGAATCTAAAAGTTCATAAAAGGCAAAAATACACATTCAAAGCCTAATATTGCACTCTAGATTATAAAATCAAGTCATATAGTATCAACAAAAACTTGATCCAAATTAAAACTAATCTCAATATCTACTATGTTAAGGTTTATATTATTTGATGTAACAAGAATTTCCAAAGGTATGTAGCAATGTGAAAGCTTGAGGGAAAAAAAACAATTTATTAATTTTAATTGCTTATAAGCTAGCCAATTATTTTAATATGCATAGATTCCAAAACCAAAGTAAAATGAATTTAAGTTTTGATACAAATGTACTTTATTATAATATTCTTTACTGTTTTAGTTTGATTAGGAAGTAATAAAGAAAAAAAAAATTGTGATGTATCAACTATTCACAAATTGTCTTGTAACTTGTTGTGGTCTTCTACAAAAACAAGAATAATTGAGAATGCTTTGTTGCATCATTCAATCATGTTTCAATAAATTTTTTTGATGAAAACAATGATGGTTGAATTGAAAGGCAATGTGACATCTTTTTTTGAGGTAGAAGTGAATCATGTTTTTTATTAAGGCCATGTGAATTTGTAAATCTAGTTTTATCAAGGCCTTGTAAATTGCTCCATAATTTAACTTTTTCTTCACTTTTGTTTCACTTTTGATTAAAAAAAAAAAGATATAGCCAATCAAAATCAAATTTGTCTCCTTTGGTTTATTCCATTAGTTTACCTTCCTATGATGTGTTTTATACTAGAAATTATAACTATACTTATTTATGTTGTAATGTCAGGAATCCAAGAATGTCCTTTTTCTTTCAATTACATTCAAATAATTATATTAAATATATGTATATGTGTATATTTGAAAAATTCATTTGATACTTTATTAATTAATTAATGATTTTTTGTATTACAATAATATTATGTTTTTTTTTTTGTGTTTTTGTATTTTTGTATTTTTTTTTTCTTTCAAATTTAAAAATTCATGAAAAAGTTGTGTCTTTTAATAAGTCAGGTGCTTGTATATGTGTGATATTACTTTCTTATTTTAAGTTATCACAATATTGTGGAATCCATAATTTCTCATTATTTTCATGTTATATATATTATATGACATTCTAGTCTTTTGTTTCTAAAATTTTATAATTATAAAATCTTTCTTATATTACTCTTTCTAAATATCTTATATTTTTTATGTTTTTAATTAAAATTAAAATTAGATATTTTTTTTAAAAAAATTCTAAATATTACTTATATGTATATATGTCTATATATATATATATATATATATATACAAATATGTAGACATGTCATTTTTAGTTTATTTTTTTATTTTTATTATAGTAGTTTTAATTTTAAGTATTTCAATAAATAAATAAAAACATTTGATAATAAACTCAAAAAACATATTATCTTTAGGAAAATGATAAAGTGACCTAAATATTTATTGAAGTAATCCACTCTATCTTAACCATCATTGCACCCTTGCAGCCCTTATTCTTGTTCCCACTCATTCTCTATTTCCAACCATTGCTGAAGATGGGAGTAGGGAGCTGGAAACAAAAGAACAAGGATGAGAATAGGGGAATGAGAGTGATGGTTGGGAATAGTGGAATGGTTAAAAATGGAAATGGGATTGAAAGGATATAATGATGGTTCAAACATGTAGGTTGACTTAGTAAAAATTTGAGTCACTTTATCATCTTTCTATATTTAGAGTATTTTCTATTACTTTAAAGCTAATATAATCAACAAAAATTACAAAATAAATCTTAGGTTATTTATAATTTTTTGTAATATTTTTTGTATTTTTTTGATATTTTTATTTAGGTAGTTATTTTATTTTAAAAGATGTTTATTAAATACTATCTTTCAACTTCTTTATACCTAGCTAAGGTATTTTAATCTAAAGTTGTTGTTGTTGTTGTTGTTGTTGTTGTTGTTGTTATTATTTTATTTTATTTACATTACTTATAAACTTATGACATTCTTAGCTCTTTTTTTAAATTTGAAATATCAAATTATATTATTAAAACATGTGTAGTAACTACATAAACTAATTTGATATGGATGTTATTTATTAAAATTCAAAATGAAAATTTAAAAATCAAAGAATACTTAAAGTTCTTTAAAAATACATAATATGATTTGGGTTTTGAATTGCACCTATTGTCAAGAAATTTTTCACAAGCATAGAACGACATGCTTATAGAAAAGAAAAAAATCCAATAAACTATCAAGGTTTTCTGAAAGCCAAGTATATTCGCAGGAATACTCTCACGACAAAGTTCCATGTCCATATCAACATCAATGAAATACACGAACGAGTGGACAGCGAGATCTCATCCATCCAACTCCGGGCAATAATGTTCTATATGTGGAGGAATGGAAATAGCATAAAACCTTTACGCTAGGAAAGCCCCAGTTGTAGAATGGGGGGAGGCGTCCAAAGGACGGGGAAGCTCCCCTAACAGAAGACTAGTCGCCGTCCTCTGGTCGCTGAATAGCCTCATTCGACACAAGGTTCTAAACCCTCGCAGGGAATCCTTCGCCAAGCTGAGTCCTCGTTCGTGGATTTTCGCAGATTGATTCTGGCGATGGCAATGGCGGCGTCGTTTTTGCGACCCGGCGTATTCTCGTCTCCGCTGGACACTCATGCGAGGAGACTGGAATCCATGTCTGTGTGCTGGTTGGAGTCGTCGTTCAGCCGACGGTCTCATTTCTCGCCATGCAAGTAAGCGAATTCTGAGCACGTTTTCTTTTGCTGAATGTGGTATGCTTTGAGTGTTTTGAATTGGCTCGTGAGGAGTTAGAGGACGAAGAAGAAGCAGAGGAAGAACGTTTCTGAGATTCGTGAGGAATTGGCGTTCCTTGTGTCCATTTTGTTTCTGCAATGAACGTGGATTCTTGATGTAGTTGATAGGACGCTTCGACAACGGTGGTTTATCACTTGTTATCGTTTTCTTGAGCCCGAGGATGGATTCTGTATGAGCATTTACTAATTTTGAGCTAATTATGTAGTTCTGTATACTGCGTATTTGCGTCGTTGTCTCTGCTGTTGAGATTGAATGATGAATGACTGGAGCAATCCATTAGCATTTGGCAGCTCTGAAAGCTTAGTGTTGGACTGTGTTTGGCCTGGTTCTCGTATTAAGCTGAAGCTGTTCTCTGTTTAGGAGAATGAACATGTATTTCGAGTTCCTCATGTTGCAGTTCCTTTCGATGTTTCGTGCCTTACGTCACTGTTGTAGTTACATCGGGGTTTTGGTGGTTCATATTGTGCTTGTCAAGCTTGCTTAAGAAACCGAACTGCTTCCTCGTGGTGCAGATTGCAATGGCAGGGCATTGGCATAGGAAAAAGACAGGAGGGAAATCGTGTTATGATGACAGTTGGGGCTGTTCCTCCAACGAAAGAAACGAGCAATGTACACCAAAGCACTTTGAACAACAGGTTCCCACTACAAGATGTACTAGAAGCGCAACAGTTTGACAGGGATCTTCTGACCTCGATCTTTGAGGTGGCGAGGGAAATGGAGGAAGTGGAGAGGGATTCAGCTGGATCCCAGCTGCTGAAAGGATTCTTGATGGCAACTCTGTTTTATGAACCCTCTACTCGTACAAGGCTATCATTTGAATCCGCTATGAAGAGGTTGGGTGGAGAAGTTTTGACAACCGAAAATGCTCGTGAATTTTCTTCAGCTGCTAAGGGCGAGACCTTGGAAGGTCAGCACTTCGCTTTGTTTTGTTTCTTATGCTTTTCTTTTCAATAATAGAAGTAATGTCCGTTCACTTGACGTTATTCTTAGCTCGAATAATGCGAAATATCTAAAATGATTATTGATCACAGACAGCATCAGGACAGTGGAGGGCTATTCGGATATCATTGTGCTCCGGCATTTTGAAAGTGGGGCAGCCAAAAAAGCAGCTGATACAGCAAATATACCTGTTATAAATGCTGGAGATGGTCCTGGTCAGCATCCAACACAGGTCTGTAATATGAGCAGTGACAATTTTTTTCCCTTACCGGCCATGTGTTTTGTTACACAAGTGTTGGATATTGGAAAGAAATAACTTAGTGGCCCATGTCAATCCTTAATAATGAGATGTCATTGGCAGTCTGATGGAATCTCTAATGGCAATGGTTTCTTCCTGTAGATGAGACAAGGTTTTCTATTTTATACGAAGAATTGAACTGTTACATGATTATCACGGCGTTTTGAATAGTTTGTAATAGTTGTCTGAGTGTTCTAAAGTTGAAAACATGAGACGATAATGTTGGTTTTAGGAAACGCTATTAGCTTCCTGCGTCCACTTTCAAAGCCAGGCTGATACTCACGACGTTTGTTTCGCCTCTTTTGCTGTATGCGAAGTTTAGCAACACCTGACAAATTTCTTATCTGCAGGCATTGCTAGATATGTACACCATACAACGGGAGACTGGGCGTCTGGATAACATCACAGTGGGCCTGGTGGGCGATTTAGCTCATGGGCGTACTGTACGATCATTGGCGTATCTTCTCGCCAAGTATGAGGGAGTTAAGATATATTTTGTTGCTCCTGATGTGGTCAGAATGAAGGTAATGTTTAAGACGTCATCTTTTTATTGCCACTAATTTTCTGCGTTACTTATCTTATCCAGACATTCGTACATGTTAGAAATTGAGGAAATGGTTGATTTAGTGTGAAACGTTGATTTTGCAGGATGATATCAAAGATCATTTAACCGAGTCAGGAGTGGATTGGGAAGAATCCTCCGATTTGATGCAAGTGGCATCAAAGTGTGATGTAATATACCAGACTCGCATCCAACAAGAGAGGTTCGGTGATCGCATCGACCTCTACAATGAGGCTCGAGGGAAGTACATAGTGGATACCAAAGTCATGGATGTGTTGCCCAAGCACGGAGTGGTCCTCCATCCGCTACCACGGCTTGATGAAGTGCGTTAAGACTGCTCTGTGACACGCTTTCTCACACTTTGCATCATGTTAGAAGAGTACCTACTGTGTCCACGTAAAGTATTTGCAATGATTCATGTTAACTATCTAATCCTCGATAATTGTTCTTTTAGTGCAGAAGTGCCATCTGTTTGAGCGAAGGTTAAAGATCACGGTTTATAACATGTTCTTCTATTTGTGAACAGATAACTGTGGAGGTGGACAGTGATCCCCGAGCTGCTTATTTCCGGCAAGCTAAGAACGGTCTTTACATTCGGATGGCCCTCTTGAAGTTGCTTCTTCTCGGCTACTAAGGCAGGTCAACTGTCACAGTGTTTGTTCTTCGGGAAGTGAGTGCTGTGATTGAGATATTGGATTGAGAGTAGCTCAGCCCTCTTTCGTGAGTAGTGATGATGAAATTCAACTGAAATTCAACTAGGCAAGCAGTAACAGAAAGACGTAGATGCAAGAATTTGTAAATGACAATTTGGCTGTCGAGTTCTGACCCTCAGAGCCACTTTAATTGTACATACGCAGTTGCCATAGCATTTAATGCTACAAAGTAGTGCCATCGACATTCTTTAGACTTTGTGTTTGAATGCACTTTTCACTGTATTCAGGTTTTATTTTACATTTTTTTGAAATGCCAGAAAATATCCTCGACCGTTTCAGCAGTGGCAGGAATTGGTAGAGGCTCTACTTGAAATGGATACATTTGAAATAGTTCAGTTGCAACTAATTTTTAAAATGTCAACATTCGGGCAAAATGACCTACTACGGTAAGAAAGGTTGGATATTTTTCCAATGATGTATTGATTGTGAGAGAATCTTCAATCCGTTTTGGGAGGCCAAACAGTGAGAAACAAAGTGCGCCATCGCACCTTTGATTTCCTCAACTGGAAAAGTCGTAGGAAATTGAAGGACTCAGCACTCAAAGTCATCAATGTGCATCACCAAGTCACTCACAAACCAAGAGAAAATCCAGACAAGAAGCTATTAAGATTTTAGTTCATGCTCCAGTAATTTCAAGTAGTAGCAGTCTCATATTGTACAATATCCCGAGGAAGTGCTATCTCGCGCTTCCTACACAAAGATTTGTAAAAATTGGAGGGTCTCTGGAAGCAATGGCTTCGAGGCGCTCAAGATTCCTAGTAAGTTCGCTAACAGTACCAAATGCGGTGGCCTTTTAGAGGAATATGACCTAGAGCTTCTCATTCTTCGCATCGATCACGCCTATTTGTGGTAATTTAGATTCTTCCATGCTCTCCGTGATGATCTGCTGCGCGAGCGTCGTCCTGCTCGATTCGATAGGTTTCTCGATGCGAGGGTTTCTGCTTCCTTGCCTGGCATATCGTTCAAGAAAGGAGCCTAGAAGAGAAGAATTCTAGAACTGCTGCTGCTGGGATAGAAGTGATGCTGAAGCGGCCGAGGATTTCTTGGAAGTGCGTGAGGTGGAGGACGACACAGGAGGGGGTGGCAATGACTCAGGGTTGGACAGAGCAGTTGTGGCCTTGAGGGGGAAATTCAAGAGAGCGCGAGAGCCTCGCATGTTGAGTGCTGCTCGGTCGTAAGCCAATGCCGCTTGCTCCGCACTATCAAAAGTTCCCAGCCATACCCGGGCACCATTTTTCGATGAGTCTCGGATCTCGGCTGCGAATTTACCCCATGGCCTTTGCCTGACGCCTCTGTAATGCGGCTGTGAGGAGGTTTTCTTATTCGCGGGCTTGGTCTTTGTGATTGTTGAAGTTTGGCATTCCTGCTCCACTTTGTCATCGATGCTTTCAACAGGAACAGAAGCAACCTCTTGCGGGGTCGAGGAATCAGTGGTGGAATTCCAGTAACTCTTGATGAATGAGTTGAATGCTTCTTCGGATTCGTTTGGTTCCAGAGACAAAGGTTCCGCAGCTTTCGACGATTCCGTTCGAAATTCGTCCGGAGTTTGGCACTGAACGCGTTTGGAGCGCCATGGGCTCAAAGGAACAGGAGCTGGAATGTCGGATTCTGCTAATGAAGGGATATACAGAAATCCTAGGGCCGGACGCTGGTTTGGAAGGGAATTTGAGCTAAGCTTAGTCGCAGAGTGCGTAACAGTAAATGCGTTTTCAGGGGTCGAAGTCTCTGCTCCCCATGCGCTTGCAGGTTGCTCTTGCACGTTGTCTAAGCAGAGATAATCGTCCACATTCAGTTCCTTCACAAACGGTTTCATCGTCGAGCGTACTTCCTCTATGAAGCATTCCCCAAACTTCCTCTTCAAGGTGCTGGTCAATTTGTTGAGTCCTTTGCTTTTGTTTTGGGACGATATGCTGCAGACTTCGTCCGTTTCATCGAGGGATGTGACGCCGCTGGTGCGAGCTCCATCACTCAACTGACCTGAGGAGCAAGGAAGGCTATAAGCACCGTCGTTTAGTTGGTCTGGCGAAGAATGAAAACTGTATGGGTCGAGCAGAAATGGTGACTTCGAAAAGTCTGGGGCAAGATAGGTGGAGGGGCTCAAATCGTAATTTGATTGAGGAAAAAACTGCTGCTGGTCCACATCGTCTACAGAAAAATGGTGACCCCAGCTCTCGGACACCTTCAGATCGGCCGTATACTGGGGGTAGCAAACCCCCTCCCTGCTCTGCAATCCCCGCGACAGGAAGTCTAACTGCTGAAACTCCACTTCTGCTGTCATTCTCAGCCAACCTAGATGATTCAACCTTTCTCTGCCTTTCCGCTTCTCGTCTAGCTCTGTATCTACTCCACAGCTTCCTCACTCAGATTATCACCTCAAGCTCTCAAGCCTCTCAAACTTCTACAACCAAAAGTATTCTTGTGTGTGTTGATCTGCACCTTTGCCTACCTCTATATCTCAAGTTTCGCACTTATGTTTCACTTCACGCTTTCAATTCTCTCAAATACTCTCAACTGAGTGAGCTTGTGTACGGCTATGTCTGTGTTCGTCTACACCCATTGAATGATCCTTTTAAACCCTCTCTCCACACATCTGAAGACACAGCCTTGAATCAACACCCAGATTGAGAAGCAGCGTAGGAAGCACCTCTCTGTACCGGATTCCGTCGCGTCCGTTTCTAAAAGAACGCTTCACGGACTCAAGAGTTCCTTCACTGTTGTGCAGCCAAAGTTCGCGTTCATATGGAACAAGAGGATACAGCCTGTGTGACGTCTAATGACTTCAGTCCTCAGAATGCTCGCCAGTAGCGTGGAGACAAATCGTAACAGGAGTCGGTTTTTCCACGTGCTATAGAAGTTCCATGGTAGTTGAGGAGAAGGTTCTCTGTTACCGACTGTTCGATCCTAGGTTACCGTATTTAGTAATAAATCTTATTACCTATAACTTATTTGAATTGCATAGGCTGCGGAGACAACTATTAGTGCACACATGTTAGGGTTGTGGTTCCGTGGGACCCCATCGTGCGCATTCCACATAATCTTTTCCTTTCAAACACTTCCTAAAGAAGAAAAAGGAAAACAGAAGGTATCTCTAATTTTGCTGTAGAATTTTTAAACCATATTATCAATTTCCATGTTGTCATCAGGTATGCAATGGAGATCTGAATCCAAATTCTGATTTGTGAAATTGATGTGTTAAAAGTGAACAAATAGGAGTTAACTATTCCAATTGCAATCTAATGGATACCACACATGACAATTCGCAAACGCATGTCCCAATAAATATCGACAACTAGCTCTACTAATATATATATATACACACACAATATTATCTCTTGTAAGTTTTAGGATCAATTCACCTCCTAAAACATAACTTATAGGAGGTTTAAATATAACTCAAGTATCCACTTATTGCTAGTCTAGTGCTTTCCATCTTGCATTCCCAACACTTGCATGGTCCATATAATGTTGAGCTTCACAAATGCCTAACAATTATTGATCAGCAAGCAAATGGATGCACAGCCTTCAATTTCATAGATAGCTCTTGCAAACTGGGCCAAAATTTAGTTTAAGCTTACAAAAACACCCTCACAAGTCACTATTAGCAAAATCTTAAAGAAATGGGATGAATACAAAGCCATGGACTAGCACCAACTCAAACAAAGTATCTAAGGATGATTCACTTTCTCATCCTTAATGAATCACTTGCTCTATGGATTTTACAATGGCAATCTCGAAATGTGTTGTTGTAAATGGAGCTCATGAAAGAGCGCAATTGATACTTTGCAAAAATGCTTGCAATTCCTATAAGCAAAAAAGAGTTTTTAAATGGTTGGTTTGAGAAATTTCTCTCTTGCCACAAGTTGAAAGTGATTAGAATGTATAGAGAAACAGTCCTAGTTGAATAAGCTGGTATTGATGCAAATATGCATGTTTTGTGCATCCGCATTGCAAATTATGATTTGTGCAATATGCATAACATAGATGAAACGAGACTATTTTATAAAATGGTGCCAAACCAAATTATTACTCAACAACAAATTATCAGCTACAAGAAGGAAACTCCACAGATTATCATTGCATTCATAACTTATGTTAATAGGATTGACAAATTACTACCATTTTTTTATTGACCATGCCCACAAATCCCACTGCTTTAATTGTTGCTCATGCAAATAATTAGATTTTTATTATTGGTCCAATAAAAAAACTTGAATGAGTAAGTTTTTTTTTTTTTTTACTAGAAATAGCTTAGAAATCTTAACAAAGTAATGGAAAGGGCATGTTGGCGAATCTTGCTCCTCATAGATAATGCACCATTGTATAATACGAATGACCAGATTTTTTCCAATGTAGATATCAATGTGTTTCTCCCAAATGCAACTTCAAAGATCCAGCCAATGGATGGTGGAATCATTGTGGTATTTAAGCAACACTACTAGTACTTTTATTTGCAGAATGTACCTGAGTGGGACGAGCAAAATGAGATCAACTTATATAAGGTCAACCAATTGTTGGCAATGTGGTGGTCACTTGTGGCTTGGGTAAAATTATCTCCAATAACAATACAAAATTATTTTCGGCATATTAGATTGTTTAAATAGGCACCCAAAGTTGCAAAAATCCCTGATAAAGAAACAATCAAAGAAGAACTAGTGGGCTTAATTTGGGGTCTTCCATTATGGAATTCAATATCAATCCAAAACCAACTCAATCCAATCAAAGTAAAAAGTGCACATATTGAGGTAGATGATCACAAAATTGTTGAGCTTGTTTGTCATCAAGTAGAGGGAGACAAAGGTCTTGACAATATCCTTGAAGAAGACAATGTGCCATGGTTGTTTATGGGCATAAAGAAGCTGTAGAGCCTTTTTGTGGTTATTTCTATGTTGAACGTTGGAGATGTAGATTAATATACTATCTACAAGTCCCTTTGCAACATTTAGAAGAAGTTGCATACAAAAGCCCTCCAACCCCTGTATGCTAGATTCTTGGCTAAGTTAGAATTCCTACTATTTATACCCTCTACAAAGTTATAACCTTTTATTTTATTTTTTTCTCCTCCTAAGCCATAACTGATAACTTACAAGAATTATAACTTAACCACAGTGTAACCAGGTCGGTTCCTCAAATTTTCAAAACTTATTGAGGATTATAACATATTGGGAGATAACTTAGGAGAGGTAATAGTGTGTGTGTGTGTGTGTGTGTATATATATATATATATATATATAATGTCATGATATGAAATGCAGAAGCCTGGGTACGAATCTCAAGGTCTTGAGACTGGTGTCGGTATTTTGAAGCCCATTCCCAGCGTCTTCCCAAATAGAATAAGCTTGACAACGCATGAAAGCTACTAGGAGGTTGTCAGGCTTATCCTGTATGTGAAGACGCTAGGAATGGGTTTCAAAATACAGTCTTTTCTTCTGTACCCAACTGTTGAAAAGTTTCTTTTTCCATTCAATCTCACAAACGTCCTGTCAGTGTAGTTGTTCAGTACACTGTGAGATTCTTTACTTACGGCTAAAAGGTTCTCATACAGAACATCTTTCCAGCTTGCTAAATGCACGTTGATTGCTGAAGGCGATGGAGGTGGGGATGGAGCTTACCGCCAGCAACGGAAGGGAGCCAGTAGAGTATTCAGTATGGATACCTATTGCAGAGTACTGCCCTAGTAGTGTTTTTGTTAAAATAAAATAAAATAAAGGGTTTAGTGAGTAGAATTTGGGAGCTCAAGTCCAGGATTCTAAGTAGGGTTAGGGGAGTACAAGGTAGTACGATGTGTTATGCAAATATGGTCCGAAGAAGTTGAAATGTATCAATTGTAGACCTATGAGGGCCAACATGGCGTTGTGGCCCTCATAGGTCTACAATTCTCTTGTTTGAAATTAGAACAACAGTATATTAAGTTATATTTCTAACATACAAACTTTGAACTACATATTTGGGTGTGTCATAAAAATAACAAGAAACATATGAATATTTTAAGATCTAAACAAATTCTTCTTTTAAAATATATGTATGAATATATATATATATATATATATATATACATAAATCCTTTGTAGATTAAGATTACAAAGAAATTAGAAAATAATCATATATATATATATGATTTAAATTGATTTAAATTTAATAAAATTAAAAAATATATTTTTATATGCTAACAAATTAAAATTTTATAGAGAAATAAATAGTTAGTTTTGGTGATTGTAGTCTAAAAAATAACTTAGTAATCAAACCCTACAAACAATAAAAGTACTAGTAATTCAAAATCTAATTGTTATTAGAATTGGCATATTTTATAATAATTTCCTTGCTTTTTGGTGTTTAAATTTTTTTATTTAATAAGGTTTATAATATTATAAAATAGACAATATTATATATATATCTAAAATAATTATTTTTACCATTAATTTTTTTAATGAATTTAATTGTTGCCAATCAACTTAAATAATAATTTATTTTTTAAAATATTTGGTAGGTGTTTAAAATTTCTATACATCTTTCATCAACTCTATAATTTTTAAATATATAATTTTTTCTCTAAGCTACTTTGTAAGTTATTAAAACATATCTAAAACTATTCTTTTTTATTCAAAATAAAACCTCTTTTATAAAATAAGCTTGAAAGTATATATAACATAAATAATGAGTTTTTAAAGATTTAAATAAAATAATTAAAAAAAGATTTTTTTTCTTTGTAGAATAAATAATTATATATATTTAAATAATTTAAATAATTAATTTTTAGCATCAAATAAAATCAAAATCTTCTTTTATAATTTAAATATTTTAGAAAATTAAAATTCTAAGATTATATCTTTAAAGTATAAAAAATAATTATGATCTATGTTTTAATTAAAACATAATTATAAGTTTACAGTAATATTCATTTTTAACTTAAGAATTTAAAATTTAAATTTTTATTTTATTTTATATTATAATAAATAAATTTTAACATAAGGTATAAAAAATACATGGATATAGACCAATCTAATAAATTTATGCAAAAAAAAGAACTTCTTACATGCAAATTAAATTTTTTTTTGTATTGTCTTAAGTAACCATTATATGCATAGTACCACTAAATTTTTATTAATTTTGTTGATAATGGTTTTATTTTTAGTATAATAGATAATTTTTTATATGATATAATAACAATAAAAAATACTTATTGATTGTATAGTTTTCTAATGATAGTGATTTTATCATTATTCAAAATATTATCAAAAATATAAAACAAATAAAATCTAAATATTAAAATTTAAAATTATTATTATTGATATTTTAAAATAAAATTATAAAAATAAAATAAAATAAAATAAAATAAAATTTAATTTAAGCAAAGAAAAATGTGGAATAAGATAATTTTCACTTTCAGCACTCTTTACTTATAATTGAAGTTTATATATATTATTGATGAATTTTGTCTATAATTATTTTCATGTTTCTTTGCTACATCTAATTAAATCCTAGATTCTTCTTAACTTAGTTGCCACCTAAAACCTTAGCTACCACTATAGAAACTTATTTTATTCCTTTGCTAACTTTTGACTATTAGCAACTTATTATGATTTAACTATATATGGTGGCAACTATGTAAGATCTTGATCTTTAACACTCTCACTTTCTTAATTGTCAAAAGGCTTTCAAGCCTAATTCTTCTATCAATTTGTGGTGTC